TCCCCCAGCCCCAAACCCCGTTTCCCCCAGCCCACCTTGATGAGCGGCGTGCGGCCGAAGAAGAAGCCGAACATGTAGGCCATGATGTCATTGCAGATGACACAGGAGATGGGCACGATGAACCTGCGGGCACAGCCGGGCTCACAGCACTGAAAGCTCCTTGCACATCCCAATCAAACTAAGGTTTTTTCAGATTTTAATGATTTATACATTGTTTTAATAAAAATATAGCGATATTTTTATTTTTCGCATTTATGGAAAATATCCGTGCTCTCCAGAAAGTCTGTATTTTAAATTGTTTTAAATGTTTTTAATATGGAAATTAATTTAAACGTACTATTACATATTTTAATAAGTAATAGAAATCAATAAAAATTTAAATGTTTTAAATAAATATTAAATTAAAATATTTATTCTGTATTTTGAAATTAAGTACTGATTGAAGACATAGAATATAAATTAGTCTATATTTTTAAACTAAGTACTGATTGAAGTTACAGAATATAGATTATTTATTCTATATTTTTAAGTTTAAATAATTAATAGATTATTTATTATTTCTTATAATAGAGATTATTTATTCTATATTTTAAAATTAAATAATTAATAAAGATTTTTTATTCTACATTTTAAATTAAGCACTGATTGAAGTTACAGAATAGAGATTATTTTTTCTATATTTTTAAATTAAGCTCTGATTGAAATTATAGCATAGAGATGACACTGTTGAGACAGATTGAAGCAGGAGTAAGCTTTAACAAGTTTTAAAATATGGTTTTGCAAAAAGATTTCGGAGAATCAGAATTGTGAAAGATGCATTGTGATATGAATATGTAGAATAAAAATATAAGTGAGTAGTGTTAGAAGTAATTGTAGTAATTAGTAATAAAACTTAATAGATTAAAAAATTGTATTAATTAAAAAATAGATTACATTTATTTGCGATAGAGTAAAAATATTTCTTTAAATCAATAATTGTGTTAATAAATTAATTTATAAATTAATTAATAATGAGTAATTAACTTCATTATTTTTATTATTTATTCTTTTAATTAATTAAAAGCATTTGTTAAAAAATTTTACTAATTTAACACATATAATTCATTATATGGTTAAATATTTAATTGTCTTAATATTGATATTAACAAATTTTGTTACTTTATTATTTATTAATTTATTGATTATTAACAACTCATTAATAATTCGGATTTAATTAGCACACAGCAGGGATGCTGTTCCAGCTGCACAGCAGTCTTTTAATTAATTAAAAGCATTTGTTAAAAAATTTTACTAATTTAACACATATAATTCATTATATGGTTAAATATTTAATTGTCTTAATATTGATATTAACAAATTTTGTTACTTTATTATTTATTAATTTATTGATTATTAACAACTCATTAATAATTCGGATTTAATTAGCACACAGCAGGGGTGCTGTTCCAGCTGCACAGGCAGGACTCACCAGATCATTCCTTCGAAGAGGTTGTGGATGATCAGGTGGGACTGGGTGACCACGATCAGCAGCGTCACGTGGGTCCAGCCAAACTGCAACACAGCTCATTAATTATCTTTGTTAATTAGCTGGGTGGCCACGATCAGCAGCGTCGCGTGGGTCCGGCCAAACTGCAACACAGCTCATTAATTATCTTTGTTAATTAGCTGGGTGGCCACGATCAGCAGCGTCGCGTGGGTCCGGCCAAACTGCAACACAGCTCATTAATTATCTTTGTTAATTAGCTGGGTGGCCACGATCAGCAGCGTCGCGTGGGTCCGGCCAAACTGCAACACAGCTCATTAATTATCTTTGTTAATTAGCTGGGTGGCCACGATCAGCAGCGTCGCGTGGGTCCAGCCAAACTGCAACACAGCTCATTCATTAATTAATTATCTCTTTGTTAATTAGCCGGGTGACCACGATCAGCAGCGTCACGTGGGTCCAGCCAAACTGCAAGAGAGTCCCCCCCCAGAGCTCATTAATTTATTCATTATCTGTTTGTTAATTAGCCAAACTGCAAGAGAGGACAGCGCCTCCTCAGGACCCCGCCCACAGCTCATTTGTTTATTTATTATTTGTTAATTAGTCAGAAAACCCTGAATTTAACCTCACCAAAACATGAATTTAACCTCACCAGACCCTAAATTTAACCCTGCCAGGCCCTGAATCCAACCTCACCAAAACATGAATTTTCCTCCCAGCAGCTTAACCTCAGTAAAACCTGAATCTAACCTTGCTAGAACCTGAATTTAACCTCCCAAAACCTGAATTTCAGCTCACTAAAATCTGAATTTAACCGCGTTAAAACCTGAATTTAACCTCCCAAAACCTGAATTTAACCGCATTAAAACCTGAATTTAAGCTCCCAAAACCTGAATTTAACCGCGTTAAAACCTGAATTTAACCTCGCCAAAACATGAATTTTCCTCCCAGCAGCCCCCGAATTTAACCTCGCTGCTCACCAAACCCTGAATTTCAGCTCACCAAACCCAGGTTTTGCACTCACCATGTAGAACTGCAGGCGGTAGTGCTTCTTCACCAGGCTGAGCACAAACATGCAGAACCCTGAGGGACACACGAGCAGTCAGAGCTGCCCACAGCCCCTGCTGCTCTACTTTATCATGATTATTAAATTTTATTATAATTTATTATCATTTTATTTGGGGTAAAGGAGCCCTGCCAGGTGTGCCCAGGTGTGCCCAGCCAGGTGTGCCCAGCCCAGGTGTGCCCACTGCCAGGTGCCCATCCAGCCCAGGTGTGCCCACTGTCAGGTGCCCATCCCAGCCAGGTGTGCCCAGCCCAGGTGTGCCCAGGTGTGCCCAGCCCAGCTGTGCCCACCTGTCAGGTAGAGGGCGAAGGAGATGAAGCGATGGTATTTGCTGAGGATCCGCAGCGGCTCCTCCCTCTGCACCAGCGTGAAGAAATAATCTGTCACTGTCTCCCCGTAGAAGAAATAATTCACACACAGCAGGAAGTACCTGGGCAGGGGAATAATTTAATTTACACACAGGTGGGGGAAATAATTCACACAGCTGGGGCAGGTAATTCACACAGCTGGAGGAAATAATTCACATACAGCTGGAAGTACCTGGGAAAGGGGAATAATTTAATTTACACACAGGTGGGGGAAATAATTCACACACAGCTGGAAGTACCTGGCCACCTGAGAGCCCAGGTGAGTGGCCAGGTGGGTGCCCGGGTAGGTGCCCAGGTGGGTGCCCAGGTAAGTGCCCAGGTAGGTGCCCAGGTGGGTGCCCTCACTCACCAGCTGAGGGTCCTGAACCAGGGCAGGTCGTAGGAGTGGTACACGTTGTAGCCGATGGTGATGATCTCGTGGAAGCATTTGATCTGCACACACATCACCTGCACGGGAAGGACAGGGAGGCATGAACCCCTGGTGCAACACCTCTGCCCTCCAGGAGGGAGGAGAGGGCACCTGCAGAGCCCAGCTCCTCCAGAGCCCAGCTCCTGGCACCTGCAGAGCCCAGCCCCTCCAGAGCCCAGCTCCTGGCACCTGCAGAGCCCAGCTCCTCCAGAGCCCCAGCCCCTCCTGGCACCCGCAGACCCCAGCCCCTCCAGCAGCTGCCACCAGCCCTGCAGGATCCTCCCAATCCCACCTGGTGTCATTTTTCCCTCCCAATCCAACCTGGGAATCTCAAGCTGTCATTCTTCCCTCCCAGTCCCACCTGGGATGCTCAGGATGGCATTTTCCCCTCCCAATCCCACTTTTCCTTCCCAATCCCACCTGGATGTTGTTTTTCCCTCCCAGTCCCACCTGGATGTTGTTTCTCCCTCCCAATCCCACCTGGATGTTGTTTTCCCCTCCCAATCCCACCTGGATGTTGTTTCTCCCCCTCTCTCCTCTGCACACACACCCTTGGGTGAGTTCCACACCCTGAGCAGATTTTCCCCCCAGGTTTCCTCCATGGCAGAGGGATCCAGGATCTCTGACCACAGGGCCCTGAGCCCCCCAGGGACCTCCCCCACTGCAGGGAGGGTCAGGACCCCTCCCTGGAGCACTCACTATTGTCATCAGGACCATGGGGCCCAGGTAGATGATGATGAAGAAGAAGGTGATCATGGCCAGCGTGAGGATGCCTCTCACCCACCAGTTCTTCCATCTGGGCCACAGAGAAGGAAAACATCAGAGAAAGGCAAGGCAGAGCACAGCAGCCAAACCAACTCTGCTCTCTGTGCCACAGGAAGGAAAGCGAGCCCTGAAACCCCAAATTTCCCCTCAGTGCTGCAGAGACCTCGATGTGCTGAGAGATAAAGGCCTGGCTGCAGCAGCTGCACCTCAGCCTCACTGAGCACCAGCCAGGGCTCTGAGAGGGGCCAGGGCAGCCCTGCTCCTGCTCTGCAGCTTTGCCACCCTTGGACAGGGTGAATTCCCAGGGAATGGGGAGAATTCCCCCTCCACACTGCTCTGCAGGGGCAGGGATGGCCCCTGGCTGTTGCACCCTCCTGCCTTCCTGCCTCTGCCACCCCCAGAGCACACTCAGGGAGGTGCCACCTCCTTCTGAGACACAAACATTTCCTCCTGTGACACAAACATTTCCTCCCGTGACACAAACATTTCCTCCCAGGCAGAGTGTGGAGAACATCCCCAGCTTGTTCCCACATCCTGGCCTTACTGTGCAAGAACTCCTGCAGAACTCAGCATTAGCAGAGTTGCAGCAGGGGCTGAACCCCCCAGGAGCTCTGAGGCTCTGCCCCAGCAGGCCTGGAGCTGCTCTGTCCCCTCATCAGCAGCGTCGCGTGTGTCCCCTCCCTCCCAAATCCTGTCCCCTCCCTTCCCACCCAAGCAGCACCCCTGAGTTTTACACCCCAAAGTGCAAGGCAGGAATTCCTGCCTGGGCCCAGCAGGATCAGCAGCTTCCCAAAGTGCTCTGAGGAAAAAGAAAAAGTGAAAAAAAAAGAAAGAAAGGGAAAGAGAACTTGTGCCTTCCTCACTTCCAGTCCTGGCCAAGAGGGGATGGAAGGAAAACTCCAGGAATGAGGAATCTGAGGGTGGGACTGAGCTGGGGGTGGAGAGAGGAGATGGAGAGAGAGAGGAGATGGAGAGAGGGGATGGAGAGAGGTGGGGTGGGAGAGAGGTGGGGTGGGAGAGAGGCTGTAGCCCCAGGATGGACAGAGCCCACTCGGACAGTGATGGACAGGATGGATGGACAGTGATGGACAGGATAGATGGACAGTGATGGATGGACAATGATGGATGGACAGAGCCCTGCCCAGGGAGTGTTTACCTGGGGCAGGATGGATGGACAATGATGGACAGGATGGACGGACAGTGATGGACAGGATGGATGGACAATGATGGAAGGATGGATGGACAGGATGGACGGACAGTGATGGACAGGATGGATGGACAGAGCCCCCTCAGGGAGTGTTTTTACCTCGAGGACAGGTTGGACAGGGCCCTGTTCAGCACCTCTGGGGTGTCATCTGAGGTCGGCACTGGGGAGGACCCCCCAAACTCAGACTTGCTCTCGCTGTCTGACGCTGTCTCTCCATCCAGCCTGCTCTCAGACTCTGACTCCTGCAGCACACACAGAGCCCAGCAGCTTTAGCAGCCACCCTGGGCTGCCTCCACCACCCCCCAGCACTCTGCTTCTGCACCAGGAGGGACAGGAAGGAAACATCCTGGCTGTCACCGGGGTGAGAAGCACCCTGAGGTGCTCAGGGCCATCCAGGAGGGCTCTGCTGGTCCCTCAGCAGCAGGCACAGCACAGGCCCTGCTCCCCTGCACAGCACAGATGCCTCCAGGCTGATTCATGACCCCTCCAAGTGCTCCAGGGCTTGTCAGCAGGAAATTTTACAAGGTCCCAATCCCCAGGCAGGTCTCAGAGAATGCAGCACTGCCCAAATTAGCCAGGAAAAGCCTCCAAGCAGGCAGGCTCAAGGCTTGCAGACAGCCCTGTCAAGTGCTGGCTGCTTGAGGACACCAAAAATAGCACTGAGCCCATCCCCAGGCAGCTGGGGAGGAAAAGCCTGGCTTATCACCTGGCTTATCACCCTGGCCCAGGCATCCCTGAGGCCAGCAGGAAGCCCAGGGGCTGAGGAGGGACACCAGGGACACGCAGGGACACAGAGGGACACACTGCTGTGCTTCCCTGCCCCTGGACTGCTCCACACCCAGCCCTGAGCAAAGTCCTGTGCTTGGGGCTGAACAAACCAGGGCTGGGAAGGGGATTTAGGGCACTCCTGGCTCTTCCCAGCGGGACTTTTCCCTCTGACCCAGCCCCGGAGCAGAGACAAGCCCAGAGCTCCACAGCCTGCCCCTGATTTCAGCTCCATCCTGCTCCTGGAAGGAAGGGAGGAAGGAAAAGCCACTCCCTGGGGAGCATCCAGCAAGGCAGAGTCCATGCCCTTGGCCCCTGAAAACTCCCTGAAAAGTGACTCTGCCAGCAGGAAAAGCACAGGGGGAGCTGAGCTGACACATGCTGGCTGCAGGGGATGAAGGCTCATTGTTTGCAGAGCTCCAGAACAACCAAACCTGCTGCCTGCAGCTCAGGAAGGCTGGAGCTGCTCCCTTACTTAAAGCAGGAAAAGCTAATTATTCCCCCTGGAATAATTAATAAATTAATTTAACAAAGCTGGGATGTGGCAGTGGCTGCAGGCCAGGTCTGAAATCAGACAAGGACAGGGAGGCAGCCAAAAATACCTGGGTGATGGCAGAGATGATTGCCAGGGATGAGCAGAGCTCCAGGCAGCACCCAGTGTCACCAGTGTCACCCAGTGTCACCCAGTGTCACCCAGTGTCACCCAGTGTCACCTCCTCCTCTCCATCCATCACTGGGAATGGAGGGTTTGGGTTTTTTAAATGACCCAGAAAACCCATTTGGACCTGAGATTTTGGAGAGATTTCGTGCAGAGCTCCAGGCAGCAGCACCCAGTGTCACCAGTGTCACCCAGTGTCACCAGTGTCACCCAGTGCCACCCAGTGTCACCAGTGTCACCAGTGTCACCTCCTCCTCTCCTGTCACATCCTGGTCCCTGGCACACCCTGATCCCTCCCCAGATCCCCCTGAACCCCTGAGATTTTATAGCACATTGTGCCACACACAGCCCAGCACTGGGTAATTGACACTATTTTTGTACCTTTTATGCAAATTGCCCCCATCAGCCTCCAAATCCTCAGCTGTGTGGGTGCTAAATAACTCATTTATTATATAAACTATATCCTATATATCTATAAATATATATTATAAATTTATATAAATGTAGATACTAATACTAATATAATCCTTGTATCTAAGTTATATATCAATAAATATTAAATATATATTATATCAATCTATACATACAAATACATGTAAATAAATAGAAATATATATTTATTTATATATATCTATAAAATATATATATAATATATATTTTTAATATAAAATTCTATGTAAATGAAACCCACAGCTCTGAGCAACGTTTGCCAGCAGATATTTCACCCCCTGAAGGAAAGACACCCAGGAAATTGAGTTTGTCTGAGCTCTCTTTAACCAGCTCCACTCCAGGAGGTGGGGACACATTTCTGCTCACCCTGAGCTGGTTTTATCCCACCAACATCCCGGTTGCCATGGAAACGAGCCTGCTCTGGCCCTGCCCAAAATCCCGTGCCCAGCAGAGCCGTGAGGCAGCCAGGGCTGGCAGGTGAGCCACCCCAGAAATGCCATTTTCAGGAGCTCTCCTGGGAGCCAGGCTCTGCTTCACTTCGATTTCCTGCCCGCTTTAACAAAGAGCTGACAGAAAACGCTGTGAATAAATGCTGGGTTTTCCAGGAAAATGCAGGAAAAACCCTGCATTTCCACACAGGGATCAGGAGCTCCCCGAGCAGAGCAAGCAGGTGCTGCCTCACTCCCTCACACCGAGCAGCTTTACCAAAAACATCAAAACATTTTAAACTAACCCAGCATCTCGGGGGCAGAGCAGCACAAAGTGAAACCAGCCCCGAGCTCTGCCAGAACACAGAGGTGGCACGGAGCCCAGAGCTGCTCCGTGCTGCTGTTCCCATGCTGCTCCAGCTGCCCTGGCAGCACAGAACCTTCCAGAAGCCTCCAGGGCTGCTCCTGTCCCGGCAAACACGCTGCCAGGGGGGCATGGCAGCAATGGCAGCTCCCCTCCCTGCCTCACTGCTGGGCTGCCAGCCTGCCACCATCACATTTTGTGAAAAATCACCCTTTCTCCTCCTGGGAAGCCTCAGAGAAAAAGGAAAACGATTTTATCTCCTTGCTTCTCCTGTGTTTTGTGCTCTGGAATGTGGAGATGGCTCCATTGGGTTCATCTAAATTGTTTTAATTTAATGACCAATCACAGCCAGGCTGTGTCGAGGCTCTGGAAAGAGTCATGAGATTTATTTTTGTATTTTTAGCCTCCTGTCTGTGTCCTTTCTGTATTGTTTAGTAGAGAATTCTTTATATAATATAGTAATATAAAATAATAATCTATAATATAGTAATATAAAGTAATAATATATAATATAGTAATATAAAATAATAATATGTAATATAGAAATATAAAATAATAATATGTAATATAGTAATATAAAGTAATAATATATAATATAGTAATGTAAAATAATAATATATGATATATTAATATAGAATAATAATATATAATATAGTAATAAAAATAATAAATCAGCCTTCTGAGAACATGGAGACAGATTCATTTTTGGGGGTCTCTGAAAATATCACAGCCAGGCTTCTCCAGCACCAAAACCAAAACTGCACCTCCCTGAGCTACACCAGGCAATTTTGGGGAATCTCTGCTGCTTCTGAAAATTTTGGGGAATTCTCTGCTGCTCCAGGCAATTTTGGGGAATTCTCTGCTGATTCATATAATATATAATATAGTAATATAAAATAATATATAATATAGTAATATAAAATAATAATATATAATATAGTGATATAAAATAATAAATCAGCCTTCTGAGAACATGGAGACAGATTCATTTTTGGGGGTCTCTGAAAATATCACAGCCAGGCTTCTCCAGCACCAAAACCAAAACTGCACCTCCCTGAGCTGCTCCTGGCAATTTTGGGGAATTCTCTGCTGCTCCTGGCAATTTTGAGGAATTCTCTGCTGATTCTGGCAATTTTAGGGAATTGCCTTGGATTGCCTTGTGACCATTTTTAGGGACACAGGATTGCACTGTGACCTTTTTTAGTGACACAGGATTGTCCCCTGACCTTTTTTAGGGACACAGAATTGTCCCCTGACCTTTTTTAGGGACACAGGATTGCACTCGGAATTCTCTGCTGCTCCTGGCAATTTTGGGGAATTCTCTGCTGCTCCTGGCAATTTTGGGGAATTGTGCAGGATTGCACTCTGACCTTTTTTAGGGTCACAGGATTGTCCCCTGCCCTCCTTTACGGACACAGGATTGCACTGTGACCTTTTTTAGGGACACAGGAGTGCACTGAGACCTTCTTTAGGGACACAGGATTGCACTGAGACCTCCTTTAGGGACACAGGATTGCACTCTGACCTTTTTTAGGGACACAGGATTGCACTGAGACCTTCTTTAGGGACACAGGATTGTCCCCTGCCCTCCTTTAGGGACACAGGATTGTCCCCTGCCCTCCTTTAGGGACACAGGGCTGTCCCCTGCCCTCCTTTAGGGACACAGGACTGTCCCCTACCTCCTTTAGGGACACAGGATTGTCCCCTGACCTCCTTTAGGGACACAGGATTGTCCTCTGACCTTCTTTAGGGACACAGGATTGTCCCCTGCCCTCCTTTAGGGACTCAGGACTGTCCCCTGCCCTCCTTTAGGGGCAGCTAAAGCCAATCCCAGCGTGGCCCAGCCCATCTGTGGTGCAGCAGCCCTGCCAGTCCTCCAACTCCCACCACAAAGAAATGGAATATAGAACTCCCTGAAGGTTTTCTGCTGCACAGCAAATCCCAGCTGAGGGGAACACACCTCAGGGTCTCTCAGGGCTCCTTCCCCAGTGGCACAGAGCTCCAGAGCCACCCCAGGGTGACAAATTCCCTGCTCTTCTGCCCCTGAGCACACCAGCACCACGAGGTTCCCCCAAACCTTCCCACAGAGCCTCCAGCAGGTGTTTAACTGGCATTAACATCGCCCTAAAATCACAATAAAATTGCATTTGAATTGCAGCAGAGCTCTGCCTGATGATTCTGTGCTGCTCAGGGCTGCAGCTCTGTGCACTAATGGAGAAAACATCAATTAGCTGCTGCTGGGGGCTGATGCAGCAGCCCCAGCACAGCCAGCACTGCTCCTCCCTGCAGCTCCTGCTTCCTGTCACAGCCTGCAAATGTCATTTAGCGAGTTCCCCTGGCCGTTCATCCCTCCTGCTCCCCTCCTCTTCGGGGAGGAGCAGCAGCAGAGGTGACAAAGGTGACAAATGACTCACGGAGCAGCCCTGAGCCTCCAGGCAGGGCTGAGGGATGGCACGGGGAAACAGAGCCAGCTTTGCTCCCTGTGCCCCTCCTGCCAGGAGAATGAAACTTTTCCCTTGGCACAAAGGCAATGCCAACCCTCACCAAACCAGGCAACTCCCTGGGATGGCTTGGGAGGCACCAAACCCTTCCCTAAGGGAGCCTGAGGGGTTTGGGACCCCCAGCTCCTGCCCCAGGGATGATTCAGGAGGTCCCAAACCCTTCCCTAAGGGAGCCTGAGGGGTTTGGGACCCTAAGCTCCTTCCCTGTGCCCCTCCTGCCAGGAGAATGAAACTTTTCCCTTGGCACAAAGGCAATGCCAACCCTCACCAAACCAGGCAACTCCCTGGGATGGCTTGGGAGGCACCAAACCCTTCCCTAAGGGAGCCTGAGGGGTTTGGGACCCCCAGCTCCTGCCCCAGGGATGATTCAGGAGGTCCCAAACCCTTCCCTAAGGGAGCCTGAGGGGTTTGGGACCCCCAGCTCCTGCCCCAGGGATGATTCAGGAGGTCCCAAACCCTTCCCTGAGGGAAGCTTTGGAACCCCCCCATCATTCCCTAGGGATGATCCAGGAGGTCCCAAACCCATCCCTAAGGTTTGGAACCCCCCCGTCATTCCCTAGGGATGATTTAGGACTTCCCAAACTCTTCCCTAAAGGCACGTTTAGAACATCCCTGCTATTCCTTAGGGATGATTTAGAAGATCCCAAACCCTTCCTAAAGGCAGGTTTGGACCCCCCTGTCATTCCCTGAGGATGGTTTAGGGGTCCCAAGGCAGGTTTGAACCCCCTTGTCACTCTCTGGGGATGGTTTAAGGTTCCCTAAGGGCAGGTTTGTAACCCCCATCACTCCCTAAGAATGATTTATGGGTCCCAAGGCAGGTTTGTAACCTCCCATCATTCCCTCGGGATGGTTTAGGGGATCCCTTAGGGCAGGTTTGGACCCCCCCAACCACTCCCTGAGGATGGTTTAGGGGGTCCCAGGGCAGTCTGAACCCCCCTGTCATTCCCTAGGGATGGTTTAGGGTTCCCTAAGGGCAGCTTTGTAACCTCCATCACTCTCTGGGGATGATTTAGGGGTCCCTAAGGGCAGGTTTGAACCCCCCCATCACTCCCTGGGGATGGTTCAGGGGGTCCCAAGGCAGTCTGGACCCCCCCCACCACTCCCTGGGGATGGTTCAGGGGGTCCCAAGGCAGTCTGAACCCCCCCACCATTCCCTCAGGATGGTTCAGGGGGTCCCAAGGCAGCCTGGACGCCCCGGGCCGGCCGGGCGGGCACCGCGCCGTTCCCCGGAGCCATCCCCACACGCACTCCACGCCCAGCCCTCCTCGCCCCGGGGCCGCTCCTCCGAACACCCCCGGGGGCTGCACCCGCTCCCCCGGGGCGCACAAACCGAGCGCGGCCCGAGCGCCCCTCGCTCCCCAGCCCCGGGCCCTCACGGCGGCCTCACGGCGGGCCGCCGGCACCCCGCGCCGCGCA